GCTCGAGAGTTGCAGCAGCGGGGTCAGCTTCGCCTTGCTCACGTGGCCACTCGGGCCAACACTGCTGATATATTCACCAAGGCACTTCCGTCTGGTGACCATCAGCGCTTTTGTACTTTGTTGGGCCTTGTGCCTACGTTTCCACACTTGCTGTAGTCTCTACTTGTACTGTGATCTATATATATATATACATGCATGCTTGCTCTTGCTAGCTAGAGATCACTGTGCTATTCTTGTTGCTTATATACCTCTGCATGTGGACTGGCCTTGTGGCCGTTTGCTTGTGCTCAGTGTGTGTGGTGACGTTGTGATCCACCATGAGCTGTGTTTTGTTTCTTCTCTTGACCGGTCTTGTGACCGTTGCTTGCTCTGGCTATCCCCCATTTCGTCTATGGGGGTGTGTCAAAACATATGCATATCATTATCTAGACTATATTGGGGATAGCCTTAGGGGGTACAGAAATTTTCTCGACACTCTAGTCTTGTACCCAAACCTTTACCTAATCTCATCATCCTTGCCTTAGTTCTTAACAGAATGGTGGACGGTGCTACGCGACTTCTCACCACATCCCTCTTACCTGTGCGTAGGCGAATGGGTTATCCGGGCGCAGCACAGAGGGCAGTCTGTCGCTCAGGTTCTGCAGGTGCGGGCGCTTCTCTCCGACGGCACGGCACGACTCAGCAGTTTCGGGGTGGATTCTTGTCGACGCGTGGCCGCATCTGCTACTGGCAGCTGCCTTCTTCCCATCACCGCGGTTATTCCTGTATATTTCACGGAAGGATGGTATGCGGGCACCTACTGCTCATGATCAGGCCTTGGGAGCAGAATGGAACTACTCCAGCATACCTCGTCACTATCGGCCATTCGGCGGCTCAGCTATAAGCCTCGTCCACTCAATCATTTAGACTGGTGGAACGATATCCTGCCGGACCCCTTACCATCCCTTCCGAACTTGAGACACCCTTTTCTCCAAGAACAACCCAGCCGACAGCGTGACGTACTGCTACGTCTCTACACTCTATCGCTATCCTGTGGAGCCCGATTTCGGTTTACCGCATCTGGCAGCAACTGCCCGAGATGCTCTGCTGATTGTACCGAGACACTGACGCACATCTTTGCGGAATGTGGGAATGCTCCCGCGATCACGATGGCTTTGCAACGCACCGTACGCAACCACCTTGGGATATCCGTTCCAGCGGAAATGACGTTGTTCCCACTTACATCCCCGGCAGGGAACTGCGCCCCATGGAGCCTATTGGTGGGAGCAACAGCAAAAACTCTGTGGAACGAGAGGTGCTCGGAAATATACGACAACTCTCGTACATCCACCACGTCGTCACTACACAACGTGCTCGCCACCTTCTTACTGGCATGCAAGATCTTCTTCAGTAGACGGGCCAAGCTTTCCGAGAAGAAGCAACGCCGCACAGCATCGCGCGTCAAATATGGCAGACAGAAGCGGCTGCTACACTTTGACTCGAAAGGAATCCCCTCCATTCACCCAGACCTGCGACGTACCTGGTTCCGTAGAGAAAACTTCCATCCCCCTTAAAAGCAGCAGCTTCCATTTGGATAGTGCTGGACAGATGCAGTGTAACAACTCATCTGCTTGCAAGGCAGGACAGTCAAGCGTCGTAGGCGCATACCTTTGAGGTTTCGGGATATAGCCCGTTCACTGTTCCAGTACTGTATGCATGGTTACGACCATTTAATAATACTTAAAAACTTAAAAAAGCATTCAAATTGCCCCACATACCTGCGTGAAGCCATCATACCATCGCGCAACCGTGACGGCGATGTAACTCGTTTCGCCTAAATCTTCATGTTTCGCACATGCAGAACTCCCGCGAATGTCCGACAACACACGCGCCAGCGCAAAACTTCTCGCGCTTCCCCCAGCTTTCACAGGGGGGCTTTCTCCCGCCGCCTGCCTGTCAGCGGAGCCGCCCACTCACTTTGCATCGGCTTGCGCCTCCTGCCAGCAGGGACGGGCGGGGAGGGGAGGAGAGGGGCCTCCTCCTCACCTCGTCGGCGCGAACGATTCCATGCCACCATCCCCATACGATGTCAGAACCAGCGAGAACGGGAGAACCTGCGGCCTGCGCCGCCTTGGGGTTCTACCAGAGCGGGGAATCAGTGTTCATGGCGACTCGACTCTTGGCTTCCCCTCGTTTCCTTCGCCTCCCCTCCCCTCCCCTCCCTTGGGACCTTCGTTGTGGGTCCTTTCTGTTCTGTAAGCGGTTGGGTACGATGATGTGCATTCAGGAGCGGTTACTCGCTTTACCTCCCTAAATCGTGGTTTTCCGGAACCCTCACCTCCCATTGCTGCTTCAGACGCTTCGCCTGAGCCACTCTTGCTTACCTCATTCCCTTCCCATTCCACAATTCCGCTAGCTTAGTCCTCCTCGACGAGCATCTGTCAGCCGATTACTTGCTAATTCGCTTTGTCCGAGTCCATGGCTTCTCCCAGTTGTCACTATGACCTTTCTCGCTCTCCTTCTTGAGATGCTCGTCATTAGGCCTTAGGCTCGACTTCAGCTGGTATCCTTCAGATGTCGGTTTATCTGGATCTCCTCCAGATATGTATCAGCTCCTTATATTCGAGTAATCTGACGCAGATATTCATCACCTCCGGGTAGTCGTCAAATCTGACGCAGATATGCATCAGTTCCCTATATTCGTCAAATCTGACTCAGATATGCATCAGCTCCCGATATTCGTCAAATCTGACGCAGATATTCATCAGCTCCCGATATTCGTCAAATCCAGATGCTCGACGGATATTTTACTTCATCAGATTCGATTACTGAGCCTCACGCTCTCGACGCGCTTCAGCTCTTTCGTCAGAACTTCAAGATCCGTGTCGCGCTCCAAACCTGAAACTTTCTTCCACAACAACGTTCTCGTCGGGCGTACCGTACGAATATTTCAGGAAGAAATGAAGGAAGCACACGCAGTCTGCGACGTAACGACGGAGTTTGCACGGCGAAATAGAGACGGGGTTTGCTCTCGACTCAAAAGGCGACGCTTGACGCGTTCGCTGCGAAGGGGATCTGATGCTGGATGCGTTTGCGAAGCCGTCAGCGTTCGCGAAGCAGTCAGCTCTCGCGACATGACATCACGGAGAAGCCGGATCAGCGCTCGACGATACTTCCTCGCGTGCGTCACGGGGATCTGATGCTGGATGCGTTCGCGAAGCAGTCCGCGCTCGGAGAGAAATGGAAGAAACTTCGCAAACGGTGTTCGTTTATCTACTCGCGACTACAGGCCGCCTGAACGTGAAATCGCGAATTCGGACGAGCTGAAGCTGCGCGCGGATTGAACATTCTTCCGCACGGATCATGCGGATTGAAGTGCGGATTGAACGGATGGATGCGATCTTCGTCGATCTCTTGTGCAAGATGGGTAAGTTCTCACTCTTCCTTCCGCCATTTGCTCCGTCCTTTATTCCGACTCTTTTTCCGTCTCCTCTATCATCCGTTTCTATGCGTATTGCATTTCGTTTCCGCTTATTCCAACTCCTTAAGAGGTTTCCGTTTTCGCTTATTCCATTCCCTTGCAGTCAGCTTTCGCGACATGACATCACGGAGAAGCTCGACGTGTGCATCACAGGGATCTGAAGCCGTCAGCGCTCGGAGAGAAATGGAGCGTGGAGAGAAATGACACATGGAGAAAATGGAGACTGGCTGATGTGATCCTGGCGCTGCTGCTGGAGGTGCGGAGGAGGAGGGGAGCCTGCTGTCGCGACATGACATTTCAGAAAAGCCGGATCAGCGATCGAGACATGATGACATCACATCGCGAAGCATCAGCGCTCGGAGAGAAATGGAGCCTGGCTGATCTGATCCTGGCGCGACGTGCCTGTGTTCGTTCTTCTACTCGCGAGGTGCTTATCTGATCCTCGCGCTGCTGGAGGTGCGGAGGATGAGAGGAGCGTGGCTGATCTGATCCTGGCGCTGCAGGAGTGCGGAGGTCCTGTTGCATCGCCTCTGCTCTTAGCTGGTATTTCTCTTTCTTGATTTTCTTCTGTTTGCCTTCATTCTGCTTCACTCTGTCAGCTGTATTTCTGACTTCGGTCGTTCCTGTTTCCCTTTTCTCTCTCTAGCCTTAGTTCTGCTTCCGTTGTTCCTGTTGTCCTTTACTTCGTCTGCTTGATGCTATTTTTCGCGATTCTGTTTTTCTCACTCTATTTGCCTTGCCCTGTGTGCCTTGTCCGAGCAGAATGTGGGGGAGAGGAGAGGAGAGGAGAGGAGTCAATAAAGGAGCAGCAGAGGTGTCAGCAGAGGAGAACTGGAGCGCTGCTCCTGGCGCTGCTGAGGTGGACGGGCATTTTGCTGATGTGGACGGGCGCGGTGGGATGACGCACGGCACTGGCGTATGGCTGCCTCTACCCGCCCTGCTGACCACCTGCTCGTGCAGCAGCAAGGCAACACTGGCATCTCGTGGCCAGCAAAGCAACTGGGAAGTGTCTTTCCCCTCGCCTTCCCTTCTCATCCCCCACCCACCATTCGTTTCGTTTCGTCATTCCGTGTTTTCCGCACCTCGTTCTTCACTCCATCGTCCTGCATTTCGCGTTTATGCACGTCCCTCTGATACGTTCGGCTGCAGCCTAGTAGATGTCCTCCGCGGGTTTTGGGTAGCATAGGTTTTGGGTTGGGTAGCATAGAGCTTGGGTTTTGGGTAGCATAGCTCCTCCCTCTGCTAGCTGCAGCCGGCGTATCATGGACGTGCATCCATCCCACCACCCACCTCGTTTCCTCGTGTTGTTCTCCGCACTCAATTTCGCACTTCGTTTCCGCATTTCGTTTCCTTGTGTTTGTATTGCTTCCTTTTCCATTTCGCAGTTCTGTTTACTGACTTCGTGCATCTGTCTGTGTGTTCCCCCCTGTTTTTCAGCATTCATGGGTTCTTCACTCGAGGATTCGCAGAGGAGCCTGCAGAGGACGGCAGCAGAGACTCGGGAGGACGGCAGCAGTGAGAGGGAGAAGCGAGCGGTGGGATGACGCACGGCCGGCAGCCACACGGCTGCCTCCTACCCGCCCTGCTGACCACCCGCTCTGCTCGAGGCGGGCACTTCAGGCAAGGAGGCGCGGAGGCGGCACTTCAGCAGAGGTGGAGTGCGGTGTGGAATGGTATGGTGCGGCATGAGGAGGAGGCGGACACTTCGGGCAACGAGCCGGCGCGGAGGCAAGGAGGCGGCACTTCAGCAGAGGTGTAGTGCGGTGTGGAATGGTATGGTGCGGCATGAGGAGGAGGCGGACACTTCGGGCAACGAGCCGGCGGAGGAAAGGAGGCGGCACTTCAGCAGAGGTGTAGTGCGGTGTAGAATGGTATGGTGCGGCATGAGGAGGAGGCGGACACTTCGGGCAACGAGCCGGCGCGGAGGCAAGGAGGCGGGACTTCAGCAGAGGTGTAGTGCGGTGTGGAATGGTATGAATATGAGGAGGAGGCGGACAGTTCGGGCTAGAGGGCGCGGAGCAGGTAAGCATGCGGCTCTTGAGGCGAGGAGGCGGCACTTCAGGCGAGGAGGCGGCACGTCCGGCAAGGGGTGAGGCGGAGGAACGTGAGGGAGTGGTTGATGGGTTGGACGAGGGGATGCATGACTGGGATGCTGTGGGAATGAGAAACGGAGAGTAGCGTTGAGAATGTGAGGCAGAGAGGGTGGGGCCCCCTCTCGTAAGTCCTCACGGCGGCCCCGCCCATCGCTGCTCCACGTCCTCATTCGTCAGCACTGCCCTCCACGCACCTCCTCTTCCAGCCTCTGTCTCCCCACCTGACCTGCACTCCGTCATCATCGCCTTCCCACCGTCGAGGAAGGCGCACGGGGAGTCTACAGCGTCATCGACTGCAGTCTCTGGTTTTGGTGTGGAGTGGTGTGGTGTGGTGTGGAGTGGTGTGGTGTGGTGTGCTTTTGGCAAGACGGAGGGGAGAGCAGCAGCATAGAGGCGAGTCAACGCACCTGCTCAAGGCGAACACTTTAGGCGAGGAGTGGAGGAGGCGGCACTTCAGGTGAGGAGTGGAGGAGGCGGCACTTCAGGTGAGCATTCGAGGAGGCGGCACTTCAGGTGAGCATTTGAGGCGGCGGCACTTCAGGTGAGCATTCGAGGAGACGGCACTTCAGGTAAGCATTCGAGGAGGTGGCACTTCAGGTGAGCATTCGAGGAGGCGGCACTTCAGGTGAGCATTCGAGGAGGCGGCACTTCAGGTGAGCATTCGAGGCGGCGGCACTTCAGGTGAGCATTCGAGGAGACAGCACTTCAGGTGAGCATTTGAGGTGGCGGCACTTCAGGTGAGCGTTGGCGAGTAGCGTTGGCGAGGAGCGTTGGCGAGGAGCGGAGCGTTGGTGAGGAGCGGAGCGTTGGCGAGGAGCGGAGCGTTGGCGAGGAGCGGAGCGCTGGCGAGGAACGGAGCGTTGGCGAGGAGCGGAGCGTTGGCGAGGAGCGGAGCGTTGGCGAGGAGCGTTAGAAGCGGCGGCACTTCAGGTGAGCATTCGAAGCGGCGGCATTTCAGGTGAGCATTCGAGGCGGCTGCACTTCAGGTGAGCATTCGAGGAGGCGGCACTTCAGGTGAGCATTCGAGGCGGCTGCACTTCGGGTGAGCATTCGAGGAGGCGGCACTTCAGGTGAGCATTCGAGGAGACGGCACTTCAGGTGAGCATTTGAGGCGGCGGGAGCAGCAGCTTGGAGGGTCAACACTGTCACCGACATGTAAGTCTCTGCTTTGGCAGGTCGGCGGGGGAGCAGCAGCTTGGAGGGTCAACACCGTCACCGACATTGTAAGTCTCATTCGTTTTTTGCATTCTTTTTTTTGTCTTTAATGTTAAAATGTTGGCTTTTTTCTGTTATCCTGTTTCAGCCTACACCAGTCCCCAAGACGGCACTCCAGTTTCCTCGTAAGTTTCGTTTCCAGTTTTCTGCATCTTTGTTTTTTTACGTGCTAATGTACCCAGAGCAGTGCGGGGCGGGTGGGCAGCGCGGCGGACGGCGCTCCAGTTTCCTTTGTAAGTTTCGTTTCCAGTTTTTTGCATCTGTTTTTTTTTACGTGCTAATGTCGCCTTGTGTTAATGCTGGCAGGTGGGCAGCGCGGAGGACGGCGCGGCGGAAGACCCTCACCTCCCCTCCCCTCCCCTCCCCTCCCCTCCCCTCACCTCCCCTCCCCTCCCCTCCCCTCCCCTCCCCTCCCCTCACCTCCCCTCTCCTCCCCTCACCTCCCCTCCCCTCCCCTCCCCTCCCCTCCCCTCCCCTCCCCTCCCCTCCCCTCCCCTCCCCTCCCCTCCCCTCCCCTCCCCTCCCCTCCCCTCCCGTCAATTTGATATGCACAACATGCGTGGGGAGCACTGAAGTGAAGACCCCCAACGGTGGCATCAGGTGGAGTGCGGCAGGGGAGGGCTAACGGCGTTAGGGCTGGCCTCCTAACGCCTGAAGCGCCCCTGTGTGTGGGTGCTCTGATGATGGATGGCGGGACGCTACCTGAAATCGGATGAGCCTCACCCCGCCTCCACCTGGGCCGGGCTCTGCCTGGTTTGAGCGAGGCTTGAGAGACGTCTCCTGTCCTCCTCGTGCCACTGCGGGGTTGCGGAGCGGAGGTGGACTGCACGGCACGCCAGCAACGGTCGTCGTGGTGGTGGGCGTTGTAAGTAGCTCCTTTCCGCGCTTTCCTTGTTTGTTGATTGTTTTTCCTTCGCTGTTTCCTTGTTTGTTGCTTGTTTTTCCTTCGCTGTTTCCTTGTTTGTTGCTTGTTTTTCCTTCGCTGTTTCCTTGTTTGTTTCCTTGTTTATTGCTTGTTTTGCTTCGATGATTCCTTGTTTGTTGCTTGTTTTGCTTCTCTGTTTCCTTGCTGTTTCCTTGTTTGTTGCTGTGCTTCCTTGCTTGCTGTTTGCTACTAACCCCCCGTGGTCCCCATGCAGGTCCCACACGAAGGGTCCCCACCTCAACGTGGTGTGTGGGTGTAACACTAGGGGTTAACCCCCCTAGTGGCCAAGAGGTGCCCACAAGACTGAAGAGAAGACCATGGCGCGCTATATTATAGTAGAATTAGTTAATTGGCTGAATAATGATAGATCTCACAATAGGAATGCAACGGAATGGGGTGAAACTAGAAAGTGTGAGAGTACAAATATGCAACCTTAACAACTGTACTCCCTATTGTGCTACTCACTGTAGCGTACAAGCATAGAATTACATTTGACACACCCCCATAGGCTAAGTGAGGGACATCAAAGCAAGCAAGGTGAACAAACGGTCACAAGACCAGTCAAAGCAAGAAACAAGGCAAGCTCAGGGTGGATCTCAAGGACACCACACAAATTCCGAGCGCAAGCAAGCGGCCACAAGGCCAGTTCAAGAGTTCACTAGGATATAAATAGGAAGTACAACAAGCAGAGCAAACTAACAAGACTATAGCAACCGAGGGCCTACCTCAACAAGCCCCAACTGCACACAGAACCTGTGGTGATCACCAAGCGCCAAGGCCTTGGTGAAGACGTCTGCAGTGTTGGCCTCTGAGGCCACAAAGTCCAGGCGTGCCTGGCCGCGTCGCTGCAGCTCTCGCAGGAGGAAGTACCTCACGTCAATATGCTTCACTCTGCTCTCCAGTCGAGGCTCTCGACACAGGAGGATCATGGCCTTGTTGTCAGCGTACAAGGTCGGTGCAGAGCGAGGCCGCTCACCAAGGTCGGCGAGCAAGAAGGTCAACCAGCGAAGCTCCTGTGCCGCGATGGCACCAGCGTAGATCTCTGCCTCTGCACTGGAAGTAGCCACAGACGACGACCGCTTAGACCTCCACGACACAGCACCAGCTCCCAGACTGAAGCAGTAACCCTGAGTCGAGCGCTGAGTCTCCACGTCGTCAGCGTAGGAAGAGTCGCAGTGACCAGTCAACGCCACTGGCTGAGTCCCTCCAAGCACAAGCCCCATGCCTGATGTAGTCGCCAGGTACTTCGCCACCCTCACAGCAGCTGACCAGTGGACAGGGCGGTGTCTCCCAGTCGCAACAAAGCGAGAGAGGATGCTGAGGGGAAAGGCGAGGTCCGGTCGAGTACAAGTCATCAGGTACATGAGGCAGCCCACCAGCTCTGCGTAGGGTCCACTGGGCTCAAAGGGCTCGTCAGGAAAGGGGCCCGTGAGTCGGTGGTCAACAGCAAGAGGAGTGGGCTGAATGGTGGAGAACTGGAAGTCGAACCGCCGAAGGACCTGCTGCACCATGTGTGACTGCGTCAGTGTGATGGTGCGAGCGGCTCTGTCCCGGGTGATCTGCAAGCCAAGGTAACGCTGCAGCTCACCCAAGTCAGTGCACTTATGCCTCTTCTGCAGTTCGGACTTCACCTGAGCCAGGGCTGCCCTGTCTGCTGTAGCAAACACCAAGTCGTCGACGTAGACAAGGATAAAGAAAGGAGTAGAACCCGCTCGAACAAACAGCGACGGGTCGGCGGAGGACGGGCTGAACCCAAGGTCACGAAGCGTGGAGCGAAGAGTGTCGTGCCACTCACGGGGCGACTGGCGGAGACCGTAGACTGGTCGCCTCAGGCTCCACTGGGTCCCAGGTGGGAAGGTGTCAGTGAAGCCAGGAGGACGGCGCAGCAAGATCTCCTCGTGCAGTCGGCCCTGGAGGAACGCAGTGGAGAAGTCGAGGGAGTGCAGCTCGTAGTCTCGCTGCGCTGCTATGTGGAGTAGCACCCGAAGAGTAGTCATCTTCGGGGTCGGGGCGAAGGTCTGGAAGAAGTCAACTCCCTCACGCAGACTGAAGCCCCTAGCCACGTAGCGCGCCTTGAACACCGGCGGTGCTCCAGGCGGCCGCTTCACCTTGAAGAGCCACATGCCATCGACTACGTTCGCCCTGGGAGGGGGAACTGCGTCGACGTAGGTGCCCGTGGATCTCCAAGATGCCAACTCTGAGTCCATAGCCGCTTTCCACTGAGAGGCCCACGCCCCTGACACTGCCTCGCGGTAGTTGCGAGGAGTCGGTATGTCAAGGGCGTCGGGGTCTCCCTCAGGGGAGAGCAGCATGGCACACACAGAGGGAGAAGCGGCTGCCCAGTACTCCAGCTCAGACTCTCTGTCCTCTAGGACGTCACAGCCAAGGGCAAACCCACCCCCGACGGACAGAGGACGGTAGGGAGGAGCTGGCACCACACGGGTGGCGTAGTCAAGGCGGCTGGCGGCAGCAAACTCAGCGACAGCGGCAGTAAGAGCCGAGGCAGACGACGGAGGGAAACGAGAGTCGGAAACAAGAGTGGCGAGGACACGTGCAGCAACAGGACGAACAGCGCGGTAGTAGTCAGTGATAGGAGTGGGGAGGGCTGTGAGAGAGGACGGAGGAGGAGACGGGAGAACGGACACAGGAGAAGGAGAACGACGACGGGACGAACAAAGGAGGGCAGTGTGGAGGTCATAACAGGGGACGAGTGACGAGCACGCGGAGGACAACGAGTGATCAGGTCGCGACGGACAGAGGGAGGAGGAGACTGAGGAGGAGGAGAAGACCAGACCGCCGGACGGTCGTCAGGAGGAGGCAACGGAGGAACAAACACAGGAGGAGACTGGGAGCGGACAGGAGGAGAGGAGGAAAGGCCAAGGGCCCGCAGGCCACTCACAGGTGGGAACAACTGCCGCTCCAGAGGAAGCTGCGGTGGCGGCTGCGGCTGCTGCTGCTGCTGCTGCTGCTGCTGCTGCTGCTGTTGCTGCTGCTGCTGCTGCTGCTCCAGAAGGTCCAGCACCCGCAGCTCCTGCCGCTCCCTCTCCAACCGCTCCTGCTCCTCACGCTCACGCCGACGGGCAGCCTGGAGACGCGTGTCGTGGCGGTGGGGAGGCGGAGTGGACTCCGCAGAACCAGGGTCTCCAGCGTCAGTCTCCTCAGACTCAGCACCCCCAGAACCAGCACCTCCAGTGCCAGGACCTCCAACTCCAGCACCCCCAGAACTAGCACCTCCAGTGCCAGCACCTCCAGCTCCAGCACCCCCAGAGCTAGCACCTCCAGTGCCAGCACCTCCAGCTCCAGCACCCCCAGAGCTAGCGCCACCTGCGCCAGCACCTCCAGCTCCAGCACCCCGCGACCGAGCACCCCCAGACCGAGCACCGCCAGCGGCTGCACCTCCAGCTCCAACACCAACCGAGTCCACAGTAACCTGTCGCGGAAGTGCCGAAGGCTGCTGAGGGGACTGTGAGGAGGACTGCGGGGAGGGAGACGCTACCTGATGCGCGACCGAGGGTAGAGGGGTAGCGTGGGACACACCAGACGAGGCAGGACCAGGGGGGGGCGGGGGTACCGGAGGAGCGGGAGCAGGAGGAGGAGAGGGTGCGAGGAAAAGAGGGGGAGGGGGTATCGGGAGACCTCGACAGGGGTACCGGGTGTAGTAGGACACGGACTCGTCAAACCGGACGTCACGGGAGTCTAGGAACTGGTGGAGGGGAGGGTGGTAAAAGGACCAGTCGGCAGAGTCCACTGGGAAACCAAGGAAGACACAGGAGACGGCGCGTGCCGAGAGCTTGTCCGCGGAGGTGTCGCGAACAAGCGCAAGGCAGCCCCAGACTCGAAAGGCCGACCCGACACCAGGGGAACCAGTCCAAAGACTGGTCGGTGAAGCCTCGGGCCGCGAGACACGCGGCTGGAGGTTCAGCTGGTGTGCGGCGTAGCGAACCGCGTGGGGCCACAGAAAATGGGGCGCACGGGCATGGATCATGGACGTGCGGGCGATGTCCATGACCAAGCCTATGCGGCGCTCAGCAACCCCATTCTGCTGTGGGGACTCTGGCAGCGTCCAGGACTGTGTGATGCCCTGTTCGCCGCAGAATGCCCCGAGAATGCCGGAGCGAAACTCGCCCCCACGGTCGGAGTGGAGACAACTGACTCGACGACCACGAGTGCCCTCAGTGGCTAGAAGCCACCTGATCAGCGTAGCAGTCACCTCGGACTTCTTCGCAAGAGGGAACACTGTGGTGTACCTGGAGAAGTCGTCGACGACCACCAGAAAGTAACGCTCCCTCCCAGACCCCTGCGTCGGGGCAGGGCCCCAGACGTCCAGGTGGAGAGTCTCGAAGGGAGCGGTGGCCGGACGAAGGGAGGAGGAGTGGGGGGTGGCGCGTAAGCGACCGGCGACGCACGGAGAGCAAGGAGGGGCAAGCGAGAGAGGGAGCGACGGGAAGGTGCGCGGGAGACCTGTGACTAGTCCCTGACTGAGCATGCCACGAAGGCGAGGGATCGACGGGTGGCCAAGACGGTGGTGCCACAGGACGGTGCGGTGGGCAAGAGAGCGATAGGAGCAAGACGCAGCGACTGGACTGGACACAGCGACCGGACCGGACACGACTACCTGGCTAGACACAGCAACTGGACTGGGGACCTG